ACTGGCGCCTCTCCCTCCACACCTCCCCACAAGCACAAGGAGGAGGCTCCGGTCCCAGTCATCCCAGAGAGGGGCTCCCAGGGTGCTGTGGCAGATGGAAGGACCCCTCAAGCGTGGCCAGAGTGGACACTGAGGCCGAGGAGGCCCCGAGAGTGAGGGCTGCTAGCACTTTGTCACTTATCAATAGTGAGAGGTGACAATGTGCTGGCAGCCCTCACTCTCGGTGCCTCCTCCACCTGGGCATCCGCTCTGGCAGTGCTTGAGGAGCCCTTCAGCCTGCCACTGTACTGTGGGAGCCATTCACTGGGCTGGCCGAGTCTGGAGTTGGCTCCCTCTACTTGCTAGGATGTGTGGAGGGAGAGGCGCAGGTGGGAACCGGGGCCATGCGTGGCACTCACAGGCCAGCGTGAGTTCCAATGGGCACGGGCGCAGGCTCCTCAGGCCCCCACTTGGAGCAGCAGGCTGGCACTGCTCGCCCAGGGCAGTGAGGGGCTTAGCACCCAGGCCAGCAACTGCGGAGGTTGCGCTGGGTCCTCCAGCACTGCTGGCCCTCGTGCACTGCTCTTGAGTTCTTGCAGGGCCTCAGCTACCTCTCTGCGGGACAGAGCTCGGGACCTGCAGCCCGCCATGTCTGAGCCCCTCCACTCTGCCGTGGGTACCTCCGTGGCCCCAGCCTCCCCGACGAGTGCCTCCCCCTGCGTTGTGGTGCCCAATCCCATCAGCCATCCAAGGGTTGAGGAGTGCAGGCACAGGGTGCGGGACTGGTGGGCAACTTGGCCTGCAGCCCTGATGCGGGATCCACTAGGTGCAGCCAGCTGGGCCCCTGAGTCTAGTAGGGACTTGGAGAACCTTTATGTCTAGCTAAGGGATTGTAAACACACCAATCAGTACTCTGTGACTAGCTCAAGGTTTGTAAATACACCAATCGGTACTCTGTATCTAGCTAACCTAGTGGGGACTTGGAGAACTTTTCCATCTAGCACTCTGTGTTTAGCTCAGGTATTGTAAATGCACTAGTCAGCACTCTGTGTCTAGCTCAGGGTTTGTCAATACACCAGTCAGCACTGTGTGTCTAGCTCAGGGTTTGTAAATACACCAATCAGCACCCTGTGTCTAGCTCAAGGTTTGTAAATACACCAATCAGTACTCTGTATCTAGCTAACCTAGTGAGGACTTCCAGGACTTTTCTGTCTAGCACTCTGTGTCTAGCTCAGGGATAGTAAACGCACCAATCAGCACTCTGTCAAAACGGACCAATCAACACTCTGTAAAATGGACCAATCAGCTCTCTGTAAAATGGACCAACCAGCAGGATGTGGGTGGGGCCAGATAAGGGAATAAAGGCAGTCTGCCTGAGCCAGTTACTGACAACCTGCTGGGGATCCCTTCTTTATTATTTAACTGTGTACAATAAATCTTGCCACTGGTCACTCTTTGGGTCTACAGTGGCCTTTATGAGCTGTAACACTCACCATAAGGGTCTGCACCTTCACTCTTGAAGTCAGCGAGACCACGAACCCACCAGAAGGAACACATTCTGGACTACGATGTTTAAGAACTGTAACACTCACTGGGAGGGTCCGCAGTTTAATTCTTGAAGTCAGTGAGACCAAGAACCCACCAATTCCAGACACAATAGTAGCTATAGCAAGAACAGAGAGAGTAGAAGAGAACTCACGGTGGCTTCAAAAATAACAGGCTAAGGCTAAGCCAGAACTGTGCTCTATGTAACTGTTAGAGTAAACAAATGTTGCCAGTAGCTGGGTCCAGTAGTCCCAGCTGTTCAGGAGGCTGAGGTAGGATTGCTTAAACGCAGAAGGTCAAGCTCAGCCTGGGCAATATTTGGCAACATAGTGAGACTTCATCTTGAAAATAAAAATAAGAATTGCAGGGATTGATTGGAGTGGGGTCATTTGTGCAATCTTAGAAACACGCATATGTGAGAAACACCTTTTGTCAGAGGGCAGCTATTATGTAACTAAATGTTTATGTAACTAACTGACAATGAAAATATCAGATGTTAAACTTAAATACAACGTTTATTTTTTAAAAAATAATTTTAATAGGCATATATTGTAGAATTTGAAATTGTTAATTTTTGACTGTGCCATTTTTCTGGTGAGAAAAAAATTTCGATCTAAGGGAAGTGGCTAAGCATTTGTGGATGTTAAGAAATAACGTATGTAAAATGAAGTTGAAGCCAAACTATATTTTCATTTATGTTGATAAGGATGCTTTTGCTGTCTTGAAAAGACATACATGTTACTTCATTAAAGAGAAAGGTCATTTAAAAATGATTTTTACTTTCATTAGTCAGGCATCTGGAGAAAGTAAAAACCAGATCTTATCATATCCTCTTTTAATGACATAAAATGGTGCAACAATCTCGGTTTTGCAAATTCAAAGGCCTCTGGTCCTATTCAGTAAACCTGAATGAGTAGAGCAGGCTGAATGTGAGGCACTAGTGATGGATGTTAATCAATGTCTTGCCTCCCCTAGGCATTCAAATTCAACTTAAAAACAAACAAACAACAACAACAACAACAACAAAAATCTAGCTAAACAAATACCTCCAGAGGTGCTTGGGATTTATAACATGATATAAAGTAGTTTGTTTTTCATGATCTAGTGCTTAAGACTAGCTCTTCTTTGGGACAATTCAAGACCCTCCCTATACTGTCCCAGCTTACAATGAAACCCCAGGAGTCCTAAGCCAGAGGAATGTGTCAGAAAGTGAAAAAGGATTACCCCCTTTTCGAAAAATTCAGCTTTGGAAAGAAGCCAATCGGTGGTGAGGGGTGGGGGGTCACCATAAAAAGGATTAAGTTGCTGCTGATTAGACTGTATGGTAAAAACATTATTTTTCTATTTCCAAAGTGGTTAATCAGTCAAGATAGTTGTAAACACATTAGACAGAAACACTGCCTTGTCTGTAAACTGAAACCCTGACTTGCTTGTAAAGGTTCATACTGACTTTCCATTTTAATTGATGTTTAATTTTGTTGCAAAGATCTTTCCATTAGATCTTCAAAGAAACTAGTTATTGAAACATTATTATATGTTTATAACATCTAGCACTGTAGTTGAAAAAAGTTGGAATAACTAATTTTCTTAATATTACACCACGTATTTTCCAGTTTTTTGATAAATGTTAGCAAAAGACAAGATGATCTGCAAAGGAAAAGTGGGGGGCTTTATTTACTATTAAAACAACAATCTCTAGACTAGGGAGGCACAGATTTTAGTATAAGTGAAAGCGTGTTTTCTGAAGAACAAAGGGAGGGTCTAGCTTAAATAGGGAAAACTACCCGCTCACTTCTCAATCAGGCCTGTTTATGCAAATGAAGGATTCAAACTTGTTTAGTTCTGATTGGTCAAAATAGTAGAGTACTGATTGGGTGTTTTCTATGCCCCCAGAACTCTCTGTCAAACTTTTGATTGGGTGTTTTCTATGCCCCAAACGAGAACTCTGTGTCAAACTTTTCTTTCAAAGGGCTGGTGAGGGGCGGTTTCCAGCTCGTTTCTCTTGTGTCTGGTTACAGGAACTGTTCTGACTCAGGGTGTAAAGCAAATGTTTGTGGAGCTGCTTTTTCCAAGAATGTATGTGGCTGCTCTTTCTCACTCTAGCAAGGCCACTTGCTTCTGTTTTTAAATTTAATCATCCCTGTTAACCACAGGGACATCTATCTCCCCTGTAGAGCTTGAGTCTTATTTTCCAGTTTTATTTTATATAGATTATATTTGAAAGTATTTTTGAAATTATGTCATGCCAAAGAAGCATGAGAGGTTGAAAAATGGATGTCTTGACTCAAAGACAAACATGGATTGAGTACATACTTTATGTGCCTGTTACCACATGTGCTGTTCATATATTTATTGCCTCATTTTCTCACAACTGCCCTGGAGATTGGTAGTCTTCCACGTTTCATAGTTGAGGCCACTGCATCTCAGATTTTTGAGAAATGTGTTAAAAAATACATTTTAATAAATATTAATTAAAAGACCTTTAGTTTGTTTTAGATGTTTGTTTTATTTTTGTAAAGCTACTGTTATTTGTTTTGCATGCCAGCCAACTCTTAGTTTAAGAAATAATAGCCTATATCATCTTATATTACCCAGATCTTGCACTTAGCTGTGTGGTTCACTATGATCCACTGTAGTTGTTGGCCTATAACCTTAAAACATCTAGGAATATGCTTTCAGGAAGAAATGGAGAAAATTTCTTCTCTAGATTTTATTTTTATTTATTTACTTGTTATTTATTGAGATAGAGCCTTGCTCTTGTTGCCCAGCCTGGAGTGCAATGGTGCACTCTCGGCTCACTGCAACCTCTGCCTCCTGGGTTCAAACAAATCTCCTGCCTCATTCTCCCGAATAGCTGGAATTACAAGCACCTGCCACCATACCCGGCTAATTTTTGTATTTTTAGCAGAGACGAGGTTTCACCATGTTGGCCAGGCTGGTCTCAAACTCTTGACCTCAGGTGACCTGCCTGCCTCAGCCTCCCAGAGTGCTGGGATTACAGAAGTGAGCCACCATGCCTGGCCTCTTCTCTAGTTTTTAATAAACATTTTAAGAAGAACAGAATTATACCCTACAACGCATTCTTTAAGTTTGTGGGAAAACTTAATAAAAAAACAAAATGCTACACCTTTTTAGAGACTCAACATTCTTTTAAATATTGTCAGAGTCATCAGAGTTCAAATTAAACCTATGATAAAAAATGCTTTTGAAGCAACAACAGCAAGCAAAGCTTGAATTCTGGCCACTGCTAGTTATGCTTCAGTGAGTGTCAGAATCAAAGAGGAGAGTTACAATGCAGATTCCTGGGCTCTACCACCCATTAGGTAGGACAGTGTGGAGCCTAAGCATTTGCATTTTTAACGATCTCCAGGGCGACATTGATGCTGCTGATCTGTGGACCGTGTTTTGAGTAGTACTTATTTAGGGATGACCTGGGAAGCATAGTATGTGTTAACAATTTAAATTATGTTTTTCAGAAAAATAATTTCAACTGTACCAGAAGAGCTCAGTGCCCAGAAACCAATATCAGCTCTATACAGATACAAGGTGATGCTGATTATTTCATCAACCATCTTGGAGTTCCCATCGTGCAGTTTGCTTATGAGGACATCAAAGCATTAGAGGTGATTGCTTCTAAAAAATGCAAAACACACACACACACAATATAGCAGACCTGCAGAATTTGGTTTTATCCTGGCTATTCAATTTTCATATCAAATAGTTCACTATAGAAAAGAGGCTTCATTTAGAGAGTTATTCTTGCTTTTCAGAGGCTTTGCAATAGTATTTGAAAACATCAGCTCTTTTGAAAAGTGTTGAATTCAATTTAAAAAGATTTATACTGTCACTCACATTTTCACATGGTGCTCTGCAACAAGAAATTTGCAGTAGTTGGATTAACATCAAAACATAATTGTAATCTTCAGTATTCACAGAAACAGATGACATGTGCAATAGATTCTCCTCTCCTTGCCCAAAGGAAAATGCATTTCATGTTCTGTATGTTAATATGAATCTTGTGGATTAGCTACCCAAAGTTTGTCAATAGTTTGCCTGCTTAGAAAAGATAGCACTTTTTTTGTGAGGATGGAAGGATTTTTTTCCAAAGAATATCACAAAAGCATGATTCACCTTAATTAAGTCTCTGTTCATCCATCTTTTGGACTTCAGTCCTTCTAATCTTTCTCAGAATTATGTCTCAGGAAACTGTTTCTCTGTGGATCTAACCCTGTTGGGACATTTCACCTTCATTTACAAATCATTTATGCATTATTCGGAGCTATTTGAAAACCTCTAGAGTGGCTTGCTTGAGGTAATTATTGCATTAACAAAATAATGGCTGGAAAGTACAGTAAAACCTGCCTTGCTCTTCAAATATAAATGTTCCTCAGAAGGGGTGCATAAATTAGGTTTGTATTAGCTCAACTTCAGATATGCAACATCTTAATTATTAACAGCGTTGAGTAATATTTGGCTTTATGTTTCTCTGCAACCACACAGAAAATATTTTAATTCTTATTTATTATGTGTCTAATTCATCTTGGTTTAGTTTTAAGACAAGAATTTAGGGAGAATAGTATAGCCTTGGGAATGAGACGGAAGCCCTGACTCTGACACTTACTAGACAAATTATTTAACATCTTTCAAAATGATTTTACAAATGAATTACTTTGGTATATTTATGGAATCTATAGAGCTGTGGTGAGGATTACATGAGACTATGCATGTAGAAGGTTTAGCTAAGCTTGAGCAGATAAGAAGACCCCATTATTGCAGTTATTATTGTCTTATTGTAAGTACAACATATGAATGTGATAATTTCTAAACTTTTTAGATATGAACACATCAATAGAAGGCAGGAGTTTGTTAATTGTTGAGGAAAACAAGTTTATCAGGCTGAAGAGGTGGAATTTGATGAGGATCAACTGGAGGATCTGAGGTGTTAATAGGGAGAAGATTTTGAAACAGGGACCAGTGAAGTTCTAAGAAGAACTGTATTATCCTAAGGCTAAAGTCTATCTACCAGAACTGGCTTAGTCTGAAGGAGTCAATCAGTTTTTCAAATTATTCCCAGAATATCTAACTCACACCATCCAAATAATTTGTATAATTTATCTCCAAAAAAGTAATTAAAATAGAATCCCCTATGCTTTATAACAAATGACCTTGTTGATACTGCTTTAGTGGAAGAATTTTTAAAATGGATTTGTCCCTTACAAAATGTGAATGCTTGAGATGAAATAATTTTGTATGAACTCTCTCAGGAACAGAGTAACCTTTGCTTTCTGTGTTAACCTATAATTGATATTGGTATACAGCTATTAAGATAAATTTTAAATATTAAAAAAAGGTTTTACCCATGATGTAAAAAATATTTGTCCTATGCCAATTAGTAAAGCAGGTAAGGAAATTAGAGCTTTTATATGAAGTTGCAGTTACAAATATATATGGAAAATAGATTGGTGGATTTGGAATTAGGAGGCCTGAAATTTTAAATCCCTTCATGTTAATGGTCCAGTTACATTGGTTTCTGGGCCTCTGCTTTTTTTAAAAAAAATCTGTATCTTATTAAAAACAAAATAAGGATAGGCGCAATGGTTCATGCCTGTAGTCCCAGCACTTTAGGAAGCCAAGACGGGCAGATTGCTTGAGCCCAGAAGTTCGATACCTGGGCAACACGGTGAAACCTTGTTTCTACAAAATAATACAAAAATTAGCTGGCTGTGTTTGCAGGCGCCTATAGTCCCAGCTGCTGGGGGGTTAGGAGGGCTGTGATGGGAGGATCGCTGGAGTCCTGGAGGCAGAGGTTGCAGTGAGCCAAGATCACACCACTGCACTCCAGCCTGGGTGACAGAGTGAGACACTATCTCAAAACAAAAACAACAAAAACAAAAACAACAACAAAAACAACAACAAAACAAACCCATAATATCTACCACTTATTGCTTATTTACCACTTTTTGAGTACTTGCTGTGCTAAGTATTTTATACCCCTTGTATCATTTATTATTTAAAACATCACTATAAATTAGCTTTTATTATTAACTGTGTTCAGGCTGAGAATGAAATGGAATTTAAAGGCTAGTAGCTTATCCAAGGTCATAAAGATAATAAATGGCCAAAACAGATGTTCATCTAAGATATGTTTAACAGTAAGCCTATGTTCTCAACTATTGTACTAAAGATTGCAAATTAGAAGCCCAAGGGCAAGAGATAGTCTATCAATATATTTTGTTTGACATGTACATTATTGAAAAATTTAATTTCTTGAAATATTGTAAACTTTTTCTCCACGGAAACAGTCAACTAAATGGGCACTGCTCACTAGCCTGCCATGTTGTTTGTCCAACAGTGCAGTTAAGAAGAATATTTTCTTCAACACCTGTTTCTATCAAAGATTAGGAGATGAATACTCAAGTAAGGGTCACATGTCTCACCAGACTTGTGTCACTTATAGTATCTGTGTGGTCCCTGTAGGGACTGAGCTCATTATCTCCACACCCATTTTAGTAAAAGAGTTAAAGTGAATAATTTTATAGCTGCTTCCACTTTCAAAGTGATATTTTCTAAAAGAACTATTTTTATTATTATATCCACAGTTTTGAAGAAATTATCTATTTGATACTTATTAGGGTGATTATAATGCAAACCTTCAAATTACTATGTATCTATATATATTTTGTCCAGCAAGATTGATCATGGATCTATTATGTTCATTTTCAAAAACTGAATCATGATAATAGGTGGAAAATTGTACCGTAGGAAAATAAACTAGTGCAATAGAGGCCAATTTTTATGTACACGTCTATAAAACATGATATATTTTTAAATATCTATCCCCAATATTTCAAACTATTCCACATTTGACACCAATGGCTTTTACCTGTAGTTTCTCTGAATGCAAATGTATTGCATAAAATTGCTTAAAGTCCCTTTGATCTTTAGCTTTCCTTGGTATCTATACTCTAATTTTCCAATAATTAACTTTTACAAATGCATCGCAATCCATGGATTTGCCAAATATTAGAATGATTCCTTCTCATAAAATAGTGCCCTGTTAATTGAAACATCTCCAGTTGTAAGCTTCATTTAAATAAGGTTTTAGATTTATAAACACCATTGCACCTGTTGGGAGAAGCATTCTGTACAGATTAAATACAATGCAGAGATTGTCAAAAAGGAAAAGACAGATGCTTTCTGATTAAGAATGCAATATTTATGACAGTCTGGTGATCCAATGCACATTTCCTCTGTCACTTAGCAGCTGTTTTACATTTTTGTTTCAGATCAGTATATTCATTCTCTATAGGGCATGCCAGAGGGTCCTTCTTAGTATATCAAAAGAGCAATCCATGCCCTAGCAAGCTTCATATCACAAATTGAAGCTCTGATTCCTCACTCTGTTTAACCTTATGTTTTTTTCTCTTCTGCTTGAAACATTCTATTTTAAACCCAATTTACCTCTATAATAGAGCATTTAACATTTAAATAATAATGAGATAAAAGAGTATTATAGCTTTTATATAGCAGGAGTCATGGCATAATTGTTTCAATATCATTTAATAACCCAGGGGCAGAAATTCAAGTAGCATAGGTATTTTGAAACTCTTACTAATTTTTTTTTTTTTAAAAACTAGATAACTCTGATACCAATCCTAATTTTTAAAGCAATATACAGCAGCATATAATTATGCCTCTGTGTGTGTGTGTGTGTGTGTATACGTGTGTGTGAACTTTAACATTGAGGTAATTCTATGAGATAAAAGTAATAAAAGTAGTTCATTTGTGCAAACGTAATACAGTCACAGTTTGACAATACACATATACACATGTTGGAACAGTGTAACTCATAGTTTTGTGCTGATTTTTCATGTTTTATTCTCAGTAGAGTAATTTGTTACTTAAATAAGAGGTCAGTCTTTCATTACATTTTCTATTTGGAGCTGAGTCATGATCAATGTTAGGTTAACAGAAATAGTTCCAAAGTCCATTAAAAGTTCTTGATTTAAGGAAACAAAATGGTTACATTTAGCTGTTTGTAGGTTCAAGTGATGTTTTGCAGTGTCTGATGAAATCCCTTTAATGTGGGTAACTACAAAATTTATACAAAGTCACTTAAGAATGAGATTTTACCTTTTCTACTTCAACGTGTGCCAATTGAAAACAAGATGAAAAGGGGTTTGTTGGTGTTGTCTCTAGATCATTATCTTTCTTTGTAACTTATTTTTAAAAAATGTCTTAAAATATGGTATTTAGACATATGCTGTTGTTATTTTCAGATCAGATTTGCTTCATTTAGTGCTGAGGTTCTCAACATTTTGGTCTAAAAATCCATTTACTCTCAAAAGTACCAAAGATTCCTCGAAACAGTTTTGATTATGTGTTAATACCTACATAGTAGAAACTAAAAGTGAGAAAAATGCATAATATTTATTTTAAAATTATTTCATAGTATCAATAACTAAATTAGTATTACCTTATTATAATTATTATCAATATAAATAAATCTAATGCAAATTAATGAAAATAACTTATTTTATTTAAAAATATTAACCAAGAGAAAAATATAAATGAGAAGAGTGATGTTATTTTACAGTTTCAAAAATCTCTTTAAGAAAGGCCG